GTTCGCATGCCATGTAGGAATTTGACAACTCAGTGGAGCTTAGTAATGACTTGCTATTTCCTTAATGCATATTCCCAGGCAAATATTACCTATGCTTCACCAGCAGGTTTTAGTCCTAGAAACTATTCTGCGGTTTTCTTTTTTTATTTATTATATCAGATCGCTTCTCGTGGTAGTATGTTGGGCATTAGCCTTTTTCAGTTGATTCTTGAGTTACGCCAGTCTCGTATGGGCATTATTCAAACTCCGGATCAACTTCGTTTCTCATACCACGCTATTGTCACCGCTGGCAAAGCAATGTTACAGTTGCCGAGTGACGAACGTCAATCGACAAAGGTACTTTCCTTTTGCCACCGTTTTATCTCATGCAAACAAATTTTGCTGTTTTGATGCAGATTATACTTTTTTAAAAATTCATACGCCTCAGCCTATCCTATGATTTGATGGTTGTAACTTAAGCTATACTTTTATTCTATAAATTTATTTGAAACGTTCGTGATTAATCAAATATTTACTCAATATGATTTCAACGGAGATAGTGAAATTATTAAATATTATTGAAATTTCGATAAGTGAACATTTTCCTTCAGTTATTTGATTTCCCCATGTTAAGGTTCAAATCCCCCTACTTCAATCTGGTCAGTGTTTGTCTAACGGGTTCAAGGTCACTCTTTAATGCCTCTATATCTTAAATGACACAATTCTCTAAACTTGTTTGAACTCATTGGAAATCCTTTAAGCAATTAAGAGTTTTAAGAGCTCTATTCATCCCATTTATATGAAGTTTAGTTTAAAGTGATGAAGGACTCGTATTTGAATTTTCTTCTAATCATATGAGTAGGCCTCATGTTTCCATTGAAATTCACATAGCCTTGTTTCCCAAAAGGTATTCTTGTCCAAGATGAACCGCAGTTTCTACCTCGCCTAGGTCTTATCCGCATTCCCAGCGGGACTACTACGCCACACTGCCACGAGTACTCTTGGGTCATGGAGCAGATTTAAATTTCCGGAAAGGCCAGGCATTTTTACATATCACATTCTGTGATGAAATTACTAATTAAGCAAAGTTTTATTTACTATAGTGATGGATACTTATTTTTCGTTTCACAAATAAGTTGATTTCAGTAGTACATAGATCGGCAATCCCATTATTAACGTGAGTTGGCATCGCATCTACCCTGTGAACCGCTGGCGCTTGTTGCTGTCTCGTTGATAGGAGTGGTAACATCGACACTACTCACGACCCGATATTGAATACGATTTGGAGTGCTGATAAGACTTAGGAAAGTTCAAAACTGCAGTCCATCCTGAATGAAATGGCACTACGGGAGGCAAGGCTACGTGAAATTTATTGTCGTAGTGACATATATTTAGGTCAATGTGGGAAAGCCGAAATATTAGTCTTTTTAAGGCCCGAATCTAAATGGGGTGGCTGAGCGCTTAATCAGGAATTAATGATAATGTCGAAAATTAGCAAGTCGTTTTTATACATTTAATGTTGCATAATTTTAATCATTTTTATATCCTACCGATTAGGGTTCTGATATTTGAGGATAAAATTGATGTGAAAGTTTTGTGATAGTGGAGTATATTGTAAGCTATTTGTATAGATACGGAGCGTAAGTAGGCTTTGAATAATCTTCTGATATAACATTCTTGTGTAGACTTTAATTTTGTACTAAAGTGCATGAAGAAGCGATTCGTTTAGAAGCTGTTTGACCTCGTTTTATCAACTTGTTCGTATTGTCAGGAAGACTTATAGGAATGTGCCTT